AAAGAGAAATGAAAAATATCTATCCTGGCCAATTTTGACCCAAAATAAACACTGAAAAACACCATGAAAACCAATTTGAAACTCTGGATGAACCCTCAGACTTTATAGATCCACATCTTGACTATAAGTCAAGCAAAGTTGAACTGAATCAGTTGAAGCAGGTTTGTTGCACAAAGGTTTTAGTGTACATTGTGCTAGGAGGAAATGGGATTTTGGCAAAAATGCATTTTTCCACTTATAAAAGGGAATCTGCTCAGACAAATATGCTTATTTCCATTATTGGAGACCTTCTACATAAGGCAAAGCCTTTGCTCCTAAGATTTAGTCGTTTTATTTAAATTTACCAATAATATCACCAAACTGAACAGAGCAAGCTTATGAAACACATGTCGGTTTCATCACCTGAAGTGGTTGCACAATGACCTCTGACCCCTCCTTGGAAAGGTCTGAGCCTCTAGTTTCCAATGATGCTGGCCTTTAGGGGGTGGGGCTAAAAATTGATACCTGCTGTTGCATTACTCCGCAAAGTCACATATGCCAGGTGGAATTTTAAATCTCCTTTTATTTATTTACACGGCTATAAAACAAAAAGTATTTATTATTTATGCAAGTAGTTTGTGCATAAATCATTTTGAAACCTGTTTTAGAAATATATAAAGCCCCATTTGAAAGGCGTGTGGATGAAACACCATGTGACTGTGTTTTGGCCATTTCTATAATAGATAAACGTGAGCAGGTGTCGGGAGAATAAGCTGCAGCTAAAACAGAATCAGTCTGTCATGGTTCAGAATATTAACTAGAAAAGACGTCTCGCATAAACATCCGCCAAGCAACAAATTCTGCCCCATATTGTGAATAAATCTGCCACATGATCCTTACCAAATCTAAATTTATTGTTCCTTAGACTGAGAGTAAAAATGTCCAGGAGTTTTCAAGTCTCCTCTAAACAAAGAAAACTCTCCTAAAAACATAATTCACTCTGCTCCAGGCTGGATCCGCCTAACTAAACCAAACCTCTTTAGCTCCATTCGGTTCTCCACTTCAATCTGATCTCAAACTGCAGATTTAAAGCGACTGATCAGACGCTGCCTGAATAAAACTCCCACTGGATCAAAGGAAGGTTGCAGGAGAAACCGACCTGCTGTCCCATGGCGGCGGCGCCCCGGAAGCCGGCCAGCTCTGGAGGCACCGGCAGAGGTTTAGCCCCGGAGATATGCTCAGAGATGGCGGGATGGAGGGCGCCCGCTGCTCCGCTCATCTGCTGGGCCAGGAACATGGCTCTGTCCGGCAGCTTGGTGGGTTCAGCGCACGCCTGCTGCCACACCGGAAGTTTCTGGGAGAGGAGCTCCTTCCCCTGAAACACAGAGGAGTCATACGGAGGCCTGTTTGGATCACATTCTGCCGTTACAAAAAAGCCTTAATCTGGAAACATTTCTACTCTGATCAAATCTGGATTTAAACTAAAGCAAATTAAAAATGAACGTCTACACAGTTTGGCTTTAGTGAAAAAACAACTTCTGGAAAATAAATGATTCAAGTTTTATTTTCAAGTCTTATTTTTGGTTTTGCTTTTTAAGTTAAGAAGAAACGCTCTGATTAGACAGAGTTCCGTTTTTATAGACTAGCAGAAATAATGGATGTCAACTAAAGGAAGGGCAGAAATTGAATAAAGTCAACCTGTTTTAGAATGGGGGGGGGGTCTGAAAGAGGATTAGCTCATAGGGTACATAACAGAGCACCTCGCTCTCAATCTGCAGGTTTACTAGTGGTTCCTAGAATTTCTAAAAGTAGAATGGGAGGCAGATCTTTTAGTTATCAGGCTCCTCTCCTGTGGAACCAACTACCAGTTTTAGTCCGTGAGGCAGACACCCTGTCTACTTTTAAGGCTAGGCTTAAAACTTTCCTTTTTGATGAATCTTCTAGTTAGAGTGGCTCAGGTTATCCTGAGCTATCTCTATAGTTCTGCTGCTATAGGCTTAGACTGCTGGAGGACATAGGGACCCCTTTTTCATCATTCTGCTTCATTCTATCTCTATTCTCCCACTCTGCAGAATCTGTTAGTTCAATCTCTAACGTTCTGCTCTCTCTGCTTTTTCTCATAGTAGCTTCATCTGGTCTGTTCCTGTTTGGCTGTGACTCCATCCTGGAGAGAAATATCAGCTGTGCTGCTGCCATCAACACCTTTGTTCCTAGATGTTGGAGCTTGGCCTGTTTTCCAGTGTAGTCCTGTTTCTCTGACTGTGACTAACTGGATGTGCTCTCTTCATCCTCTGACATGGGAGCTGGCTCGGAGCTCGTCTGCCTGGCTGTGTGTTTCCTGGACGGGGCCGCCTGTGGAGCTGGTTGACAGTTGCCTTTTGTATCTATGCTTCTTTTTCTATGTCTGCTTCTGTCTCCTTGAACCCCAGTGGGCCTCAGCAGATGGCCGCTCACACTGAGCCTGGTTCTGCTGGAGGTTTCTTCCTGTTCAAAGGGAGTTTTTCCTCTCCACTGTCGCTACAAGCATGCTTAGTGTGAGGGATTGCTGAAGAGTCAATGAGTCGATGCAATCAGCTGGTTTTCCTTAGATAGAAAACTTTGAATCAATCTGACTGGATGATCCATTGAACTGGAAAGTGACCTGAGATGACATGATGGGAATTGGATCTATAGAAATAAACTGAATAGAACTGATGAAATGTTTGAAAGTGAACTGGCAGGAAGTGGAGAGATTCTGCTCTGCTGATGCGCAGCCAGAGGGATGAATCACACGTGAAAGAGGCTCTCAGCGCTGCAGAGTGTCCATGCATTATACAGCAGGACGGTTATGTAAAAGACATCATCTGCATCATCATCATCATCCAGAAACGGTACAGGCCGAGGAGAGTCCTGCTGCGGCGCCTGGTGGGATCATCTCACGGTCACACGAGGAAAGTCTGATCACTGAGACAGAGGAACGACAAGTTCTGTTTCTCTGTGATCTGCAAACTTTCTCTGAGAGGATCTTTGCTGCTGGTGAGAGCGATGAGTTACTGCGACCCCCGTTAGCCTGTCAGATCGCAGCGAGGGAGCGTAGGTGGTCGGTGCCTCTACCGGCGTGAAGATAATCAGCTTTATTACCATCTCCCTGCTGTCTGAGAGCAGAAACCGGACCGTCACCTGGTCTGCAGCCACAGCTAAGGAACAATTTAGCTTCTCTAAATCCTAAACATTAGAAGATGAGCCCATCTGTGGGTAGTGGCAGCGCTCTGACTGAGGCGGCGGCTCGTTCTGACCCCGACACGCAGCTTTGAAGAGAAAAACATCTCAAACACAGAGAAACTGACAAGTTTGTTGCGTTGCCAAGAGAGAAAACCCCTCCTGTTGTTTTGTGGCATCAGGGCAGCTGGCGGTCTAATTTCATCCCTTTCTGATGTCTAATCATCCATCAGCAGTTTGCGTTCGCTGCTTCCGCCTCCCGTCTATCAGTCACTCATTCAGACACTTTCACCCACACAGCCACTCAGAACCAAGTGTTCCTGCAGAAGTAGGTCATTATCCCCGCCGCCTTCCTCCTCCTCATCCTCCTCCTCCACATGTGAAGCCATTCAGGCAGGAAGCAGGAGGGGCTCAGACTGTTAATGATGCTGAGCTCTGATTGGCTGACTCGGATGATCTGGACCAAAACTGAATTAATGAAGGCGATTTTATAACAACCTGACGCACATAAACCAACTTTCTACTGATTATCCATGAAGCAGCTCTGGTGATTCCTTTTTAGTGAAGCGAATCAGTTCTAAAAATCATTTGTTCAAAGGAATCATTCGCTGAATCCTTCCGTTCATGTAACTAAGGTTTGGAGTGACGGTTCAAACCGGCAGTAAGGTCACAGAGGGAGCTACTAATTTAAATTAATGATGAGGAATAAACATGGATTTAGTGACATTAAGAGTAAAATTAAAGAACTTTAATGTTGAAACGGGCTGCAACTAAAGATTATTCAGATGAGCGATAAATCTGTTGATTATTTCTTTCGATTAATCGATTAATAATCGGATAGCCAAAGGTTCCTTAAAAGGAAGAAAAAGTTATTTTTTATCTCCAATGCAAAATATTTATATATTTTTTTCTCAATTGGGTCGGTCTGCCAGCAAAAGGCACATTTTAGAGTCTCTGTCCTCCAGTTAATGATTAATTGATTACTGAGGCAACTGCCTAGTTTTTCCTAATGGTAAATCCATCCCTGATGAAGACGTCTCAGACTTTTGCCGTCATCCGTTCAGCAATCCTTCCTAAATCCTTCTCCGCTGCTGTGCGGCAGGAATCAGGACCCACACCCCTCCTAGTTCTCACCTTGCTGTGGTACGCGCTGCTGTTGCTGGCCACGGCACACTGGCGGTCCACCAGGAAGCAATACCTCCTCCTCTCCTCAGACAGAGCGTTCTTGTAGCCCTTAGCGATGTACTGGTCCAGCTCACTCTGCTTGTTGCTGATGGCCTCCACGTACTGGGCAGAAAAGAAAAAGATCCGTGATAAATGGAGGCTGAATCAGTCCTGCAGAAGCTTTAAGTGATTAAATGATGACAGAAGAAGTAAACCTTTGATCTTTCCTGCGCTTAAAAACTGAAATCTTAGCAAATCAAACCACAAAACCAGGATTTTAAGAACCAAGCAGCAGAATGAGAATCAGATTTCAGAAAACCAGGATTTTAAGAACCAAGCAGCAGAATGAGAATCAGATTTCAGGGAGAGCTTCATCCAACATCAACTACTGAAGATTTTAACTAGGGCTGCAACTAACAAATGATGATGTTGCAAATCGATTAATCTGTTGATTATCTTTTTGATTAATCGATTAATAATTTGATAGCCTTCCTTTAAGAAGACTTTTGATTAAATTAAGCCAAGTGAAGCTAAAACTTTTCCACTTGAGGAGTTCTGGATAGAGCAGATTGCCCAACATAAAGTATTTTTGATCTTAAATGCAAAATATTTATATATATTTTTTATTTTCTTATAATTCCTGCTGTAAGTGGGTCGCTCCAGTTAACGATTAATCGATTACTAAATATGTCGTTGATCGTTCAGTAATTGATTAATCTGATTAATTGTTTCAGCCTTATTCTTAAATAAACAAAAAACTGTATTTGTCCTTAATTTCAGCAGGTAGATAAGATGATCCTCCAGTGTAACAATAGTTAGATATTATACAGTGGTAGGGGTGTGGGAGGGAAAAAAACATCTTGGCTATATATCGTGATTTTAGGCTGCCTGATATGAAATAGATTTTTCATTTCATAGTATGGATTTTTTTTTTAACTAAACATTTTTACCCAAATCAATGAGGGGAAAATGGGCTACCTCTGCACCCCCACTCTGGCAGGTGGCGCTGTGGAGCCCTTTAGGTGTGCGGTACAGCGCCAAATCTGTAGCTGAGGCAGTCACAGTGGAAGATGTGGACCGACTCAAACCCCAAACAACATGGAGACCAAAATAACTGAATGATCAAAATCTTCTGATAAACATTTACAGCACTTGCCTTTTTATCTATACATTTAATTTTAGAGAAATATATATTGATAAAGCTTCTAGTTAGAGTGGCTCAGGTTATCCTGAGCTATCTCTATAGTTCTGCTGCTATAGGCTTAGACTGCTGGAGGACATAGGGACCCCTTTTTCATCATTCTGCTTCATTCTATCTCTATTCTCCCACTCTGCAGAATCTATTAGTTCAATCTCTAACGTTCTGCTCTCTCTGCTTTTTCTCATAGTAGCTTCATCTGGTCTGTTCCTGTTTGGCTGTGACTCCATCCTGGAGAGAAATATCAGCTGTGCTGCTGCCATCAACACCTTTGTTTCTAGATGTTGGAGCTTGGCCTGTTTTCCAGTGTAGTCCTGTTTCTCTGACTGTGACTAACTGGATGTGCTCTCTTCATCCTCTGACATGGGAGCTGGCTCGGAGCTCGTCTGCCTGGCTGTGTGTTTCCTGGACGGGGCCGCCTGTGGAGCTGGTTGACAGTTGCCTTTTGTATCTATGCTTCTTTTTCTATGTCTGCTTCTGTCTCCTTGAACCCCAGTGGGCCTCAGCAGATGGCCGCTCACACTGAGCCTGGTTCTGCTGGAGGTTTCTTCCTGTTCAAAGGGAGTTTTTCCTCTCCACTGTCGCTACAAGCATGCTTAGTGTGAGGGATTGCTGAAGAGTCAATGAGTCGATGCAATCAGCTGGTTTTCTTTAGACAGAAAACTTACTGGATGATCTGGTGAACTGGAAAGTGACCTGAGATGACGTGTTGTGAATTGGCTCTATAGAAATAAACTGAATAGAATTCATTTTGATAGCTGGGAAAAATATAGCTACTAATATCGTAACAATCATGCCAATACTCACCCCTACACGCTGAAATGAAATAACTTAACTTTTTTCCTATCTTTAACTTAAATCATATTATTCCATTGGCTGGTCTTACCTGCTTAAATTAAGGACTTATTTTTTTTTTTTTTTTTTAGGAAAAACTGCCTTCTTAATATTTTCCTCTTTGTGCAGTAAAGGTTCCTCAGCAGTGAAGGAGTTAATGGCGGCGCCCCGAGCGGTTCACACATCAGAGTTCATGCTGGACGTTTAAAAATAAACTGATGTTGGCAGGAAACGGATCTATAGAGCGACTGGAGTCATCCAGCAATGCTCCATAATCACCATCACACTTTCAGCAACGCCACAAGTGCTAATTATGGAATAAATCACGCAGAGTCGACATTCATTAAGGTTTCACTGCCTCGTTTACGTTTGTCTAAAAAACAGAAGCTCCATTAATCATTTAGGTCAAGAAAAACAACCTATTTATTCAGTAAGAATCAGTCAGACCAGGATGTTTCCTGTTTGAACCAATGAAGGCAGAACCTTGGAATCATTTCATCTATAAAAGCACTTCTTTAAACTGAAATCATCTCAAAGCCATTAATGCACAATGCTAAATCTTGATTGGTTAAAAACTTTCATGCTTTAACAACAAATCAACTTTGGAAACGTTGTCTACCCGGGTCAAACCACTCGGCAAGCGACGGGGAACACAACCTGTGGGAACACCAGTTGACCCGCTAAATTACGTGATACCATTGAACGCAACATACGAACATCAACTTGCGGCGCCAGTCGCTTCTGATCGAAGAAGCAGAAACAACTGTGTTTCCATTGGATAAACATGGAGCAGCTCTAGTTAGAGGGATTCAGACAGATAATAGAGAGAAAGAATAAAGCACACCGACTACGCCCTGGCTTCCTTCCATGTTACTGTCCATTGTTTACATCCCTGATCGCACCGATGATATCAATTCTAAGGCCTGGTTATCCTCCCACAGCAGTGTGTCGCATATATTTTTATTTTTGCTCAATATTGAGGCGTGGTCTGCACTGTTATTCCACGCCACAACGCCAGAGGTCCAATCAGGAACTAGCTGTGGGTCTAGATACGGCAGAGGAGGTGAGGAAGTGGGGGCAAGTTTGTGCGACAACGGAGGGATGTGAGGGCCAAAAAGAGCGGGGATCCAGGCGGAAAAAGGGTCCCAGCGTCTCACGCACCTCGTTCTGCTAGCTGGTCCATCTTCACCATTCGTTTCTCACAATGGCGGTCAGACTAAGAAAAAAAGCCGGTAAGGAACCAAACAGGAAATACGCATAGTGTAGAGCGGATGTAGATTTGACCAATCAGATGCCTGCGGCACTGTCTGAGGTCACCTGCAATTTTGGAGAGGTGTAGCAGAGTGTCAGCGGAAGGGGGCGGGACATATCTGTGTTAACTGCGACATACAAGAAGACGACCTGGTTTCAGAGCATAAACCAGCCTTAACCCAGGATGATGATGTCACCAGACATGCAGCCGTGGTGGGATAGAGGCCACGCAGCTGCCAGCGAGGGGCTAGACCAGCTTTTTATGCCAATGGGAAGGGATCCAAATGCTGATTGTTAGCGGGTCCACGCATGTTTGAAAAACATCAGTTAATTTTCAGTGGGAAAGAGGATTTAAAGTATAAAAGTAATGCCGAAAAAAATGTTAATGCCAGAAGTTTTACTGCTCTACCCTGTTAAAGGAACATTTTTCTACTATTCTGGATGATAACTTCCTTAGACTTCATTTTCTTAGTTTTAGAACTAATGGTAACAGAGTCACATTTATCTTTGCATCATCTGGAAAAACGATTTATTTTGTTAGGTGGTGAGCAACAAGTTGGGGCAGCACCGAGTCCAACCACAAAGACATTAATTGTCTGGATGAAACTAATTATTATTTTGATGTTTTTAATTTTTTTAAATACCAACAGGCCAGAATGAAAATGAGCTTAAATTTAACAAAACTAAAGTAAAAAGTAAAATAATTACTTCAGTAAATTACAGATAATCAACATTACTACAGAAGTAAGGGAATGAAGTATTTGTACTTTGTTGCTTGACGCCTCTGATCATGAATGCAGCCTCTGCAACATCAGAGCTTTTTAATGATAACTTTATTTTCTTAGTTTTATAACTAATGGCAACAGTGTCATATTTAACTTTGCAGCATCTTGAACAATTAATTATTGTTTTATTAATGATAAGATTGGAGTTGGATCTAAAAAAAAAAATAATCCTGCAGAACTCGGCAGAGTCGGCAGGAACCTTTTAAAGGTCTCGTTCACGTGGGGAGAAAAATGTTCGACTTTCCTGGAGGCATTTTAAAGAAGCTTTTAGTGACTCTTTACTCAAAGCGCCTGAAAACAGAAACTCAGCGGCCTCCCTGCAGGATTCACAGAAACAAGCCGCAGCAGCAAACGCAGCTCCTACCATTTTTTTACTTTTTGGTGAAACAAAACTTTGTAAAAACTCAAAGGGAAGCAATAATCTGTGGATCTAAGGAAAGTCGTTTCAGCTGAGCCGCCCGAATCTCTCAGCCAAGAGCTGCTCCTCATCCAGCGGAGTCGCTGTGAAAAGTCAGCGGCGGCTAGAGAGGAAGACGTGGTGCGTTCAGGTTGCAGCAGGGAGCAGCAAACCTTCCTGCAACCACACAGCTGAAGAAACAACCACCTTCCCTCCATCAGATATCAGCATGAAGCTGAGAACAGCTGGGAGCGTTAATGAAGATTCACAGGACTCATCAGGAGGAAATCCATGCGTTTAGCATGGAGGTCCTCCATGAAGCTGATTTATTTACATACCAACTGGCCTTTTATTCCCCAGCGCTATAAATCGGACTCTGCAGCTGCCTCCCGCTACTGGAGGCCCCAATCAGCGCTTCAAGCAGGACGGAGAAGCTGTGCTAAGAGGGAACATGTCAGCAGGGAGGCGGACATGCAGAGAGGTTCCCCTGATTGGCCCTGCTGAAGGTGCTGTGATGGTTTCTTCAGGTCAAAGCAGTGAGCAGCCAGATGAAAACTCCCTTCGAGGAGCAGCTGGAAGCCGAGTGACCTTTGAACTTATGAAGCTGTCTCTGTTCTATGTACAGCGAGCTAAAACAAAATGGATTCTAAAAAAGGAG